TAACAACTTTCTATGTCGAGACTTGAGAGAGTATCTCCTTGCACTACTTAAAACAAAAATATATATACAATTCTATGGAAGAAAAACTTGAGTGGAGAGTGCGTTTTCACCTAGCACGCTACGTGACAGGTCCACTTTAGTTCATGAGTTACAAAATTGGGTTAATTATATTTTACCATCTCAGGGTTGAGTATAATTGCAACCTCATATAATATCTTTAAAACATTTTAATCACATTCGTCAGTCAAACAGTTAATTTGATCGTTAAATGACAACTTGGCAAATGCAGGGTCTATATTTTTGTTGATGCGGCAATCAAATTTGTCTGCATAGATTAAAAAATAAATTATAAATAAAAATTGGGCCCCACCCCTTCAATCTGATCCACACTCCATGCAATCCACCCCCTTCACCGCTACGAGATGGGTTTGGAAGATGAGAACTCAGAGAACACAACTAGGGGTGTTGGAGTTGTCACCAACAAGGGGTGGTGGAGGGGTGCGGATGGATTGAGGAAGACCGTTAAAGATTTTTTATTAGTTGTCTAACCATGTGGCACAAATGTCACTTAATATTACGGTCTAGTGGTATTCTTCTTCATTTGTAAGTGAGAAGTCTTAATTCAATTCTTGCCAAATGCGAGTTTGAACCAAATTATTGCTAGCTCATTGTGAGGCTAAGCCACTTCCCCTTATTGTAGATAATATCGGTTGTTAAAAAAAAAAAACCATGTGGCACAAATTGGCAGCCTCGTAAGTAGAAATGTGAAATCCACTGTTACTGCGTCATTATTTAATTGCCAACTTAACAACTTTTCTAACAATTATATGAAATTGAAATGAAATAATAACTAAATGTATAAGATTGAAATGTTTTAAATATTTATAAAGTTGTAATTGCATTCAAACCTGAAAAAGTAAAATGAAATTTACTCTACAAAATTGGAGTTATTAAAAGTTTAAAACATAAGGTACAATTTAGTTCATGAGTTACAAAATTGGATGGAATTCTTGGGTCATGGCTTGCAAACTAGAAAATAGGCTTTTTTTTCAAATTTTAATTGAGTATATTTATGTAATTTCATTAAAAGAAAAGCTGATTCTTATTTTCTTCTCAGATCCATACTCGTCCCACCGCCACTCCTCCCGTCCTCTTCCGAGCAAACTGCAACCTCCGCGTGGTTATGCAAAAATCTAGCTCACGACCCCAACCACCATTCTCATCCTTTGTGGCTCTTCTTTTCTTCCAGCAGCTGAAGCGTCGCCGCTTGACCAATGGCCAGAAAGCACCTGTTGACCATCGATAGAAGTTAGTCAGTCCATTCTCAAGCGGTAAAACTCCCATTTTTCATTTTCTTCATCCATTTTATATCATATTTCTTTTTCAATATTATAAAAATTGAAAATTTTGAGTTATTTTATGGTTGGAGGTTTTTAATTGTGTAGATTTATAGGGATGAAAAGCGTGGGAAGATTCTGAATTTTGGCATTTGTTTGGGAAGCTTCACAATGTTTGACTGAAAGACAACTCATCACATATGAAAGAACTTCTGCCCCATTACACATCCACTCTACTTCTCTATAACTCTTTCACTTTTAAGCATGTATGGTTACTTCTGCAAAAATTTAAATAAAAAAAACTATTACCTGGTGTTAACGGGTGAAACGGTGATTGTAAGATCCCACATCATCCAAGGGAGTGGATCCTGTAAGCCCTATATGTATATTCTCATCTCTATCTAGCACGAGACCTTTTGGGAACTCATTGGCTTCGGGTTTCATCGGAACTCTGAAGTTAAGTGAGTAGCGCGCGAGAGTAATCCCATGATGGGTGACCCACTGGGAAGTTTTCGTGTAAGTTCCCAGAAACAAAATCGTGAGCGCGTGGTTGGGGCCCAAAGCGGACAATATTGTGCTATGGTTAAGTCGGGCCCAATATGTGGTAGGGGCCCGGGCAGGAATGTGACAATTTGGTATCAGAGTCAATCCCTGGCCGGAAATGTGCCGACGAAGACGACAGCCCCCTAAGAGGGGTGGATTGTAAGATCCCACATCGCCCAAAGGAGTGGATCCTGTAAGCCTGATATGTATATATTCTCATCTCTACCTAGCACGAGGCCTTTTGGGAGCTCATTGGCTTCGGGTTTCATTGGATTGTAAGATCTCACATCGCCTAGGGAAGTGGATCATGTAAGCCTTATATATATATATATATATATATATATATATATATATATATATATATATATTCTCATCTCTACCTAGCACGAGACATTTTGGGAGCTCATTGGCTTCGGATTTCATTGGAACTCAGAAGTTAAGCGAGTAGTGCGCGAGAGCAATCCCATGATAGGTGACCTACTATGAAGTTCTCGTGCGAGTTCCCAAAAACAAAACCGTAAGGGCGTGGTTGGGGCCCAAAACGAACAATATCATACTATGGTGGAGTCGGGCCCGAGATGTGGTGAGGGCCTGAGGCGGGATGTGACAATGACCCATTAGCTTAACGGGTTTGATTTGAGTAACCCGTTAAATTCACATATTGATTTTGGATAACCCATACGTAAGGGCTCGGATTGAAATCGAGCCAAACTCAATTAAACTGACCCGTTTACAGGTCTAGACTCAAGGTAGAGTACGCACTCGTTACTTTATAATATACTAAATTGTTTTTCTTTTTCTTTTCTTTTTTCAGAAAAAAATAATTAGGGGGCGTTTGTTGCGCCGAACTATCTCGGACTGGATTAGCTTTAAGGACTAAGCTGGATTGGCTTAGACTAGATTAAACTGGACTAACTTAGTGAAGCGTTTGGTGCAATATTGGACTAAGAAGCTAGATAATAACAAATTCTAATATTATATTATTTAATATATAAATTATTAATATTTTATTATGATCTTATCTTTTTCTCCATATTTTCCTACCATTTCCGTCCCACTCTTTACCTCTTCTCTCATCGTCCCACCCTCTCCCTCTTTTTTTCCTCTTAGACCTCTCAATTCATGTCTCTTTCTCATTCCTAGTCAAACTCCTTATTGATTCCAGTCTCTATTTCTCTGTCCTCCATCCCTCTCTAGCTATGCGTTGTTCGAACGGAACCTCACGGCTCCAATTTTCTCGACGAGTTGCACGTTTCCTGATGTGTTTTCTGGCCAACCCTCGTTAAATTGGATGAAGTTAGCACCGCCAAAAAATTCATCACCATCCCTGGACCGAGATCTTAGCTTTGAATGCTCGAATCTGTCATGGATTTGAAGAAGCCCAAATAGGCCGAGACTTCCAGGCCATTTTCTAGACACATTCGACCACATTTTGGCCTTGATTCAGGTAAAATCGTAATCTTGTCACTCCCAGCTTCAATTTGGTATATTTTATATGAAAGTTGGTTGTGAAATGGATCTGAAAGAGAGTCGGAAAGTTAATGATTGATCTAGGTGACCGGAGATGACGAGGAGTCTGTCGGGAGTGGTCGTTGAGCATGACGAGGACGAGAAAGAGAGGATAGTCTTAGCTAGTCCCATGGTTATTGGGAGGTCTCGCTAAGGCCTCTTAGTGAAGGGTTTTGTCCATGCTAGTCCCCTTTAGTCTCATTAATGTTAGTCCCAGCACGGAACAAACACAGTATTGGACTAATAGGTAGTCCAGTCCAGTCCAGTCCAACTTAGTGAGGGCAAACAAACGCCCCCTTAATGTACTAATTAACCTTGGCTAGTTTTCAAGACATTGGGTTATTTCAGAAGAGGTGAAGGCTAGGCAAAATTTAGGGCTCAGTAAAAAGGAAAAGACTTTTTAAATATTATATTTTTTTTGGCTCAAAATTTTTAAATATTATATGGTCAATACAATAATAATATATTAATTTATGAAAGAAAACAATAAGAAAAATAAATAAAAAGATAAAGATATGTTTGGTGTTCTACTTGTCCCTGGATGAAAGTGTGCCGACGAGGACGTTAGACCTTAATAGGGGTGGATTGTAACATCCCACATCGCCCAGGGAAGTGGATCATGTAAGCCTTATATGTATATTCCTATCTTTACCTAGCATGAGGCCTTTTGGGAGTTCACTAGCTTCGGGTTCCGTAGGAACTCCGAAGTTAAGCGAGTTCGCACGAAAGTAATCTCAAGATGGGCGACCCACTAGGAAGTTCTGCTCGCGTGAGTTCCCAGAAACAAAACCGTGAGGGCATGGTCGGGGTCCAAAGCACACAATATCGTGCTATAGTGGAGTTGAGCCCGGAATGTGATGGGAGCTCGGGCCGGGATGTGACAATTACACTCAAACCTAATGAGTAAAATGTAACCTTACAAAATTGGAGTTATTAAAATATAAGCCCCAATTTAGTTTGGGAATTGTTATTAGCACTTTAAAAATCTTATTTGACACTCCAAACTTTCTATAATTAGAAAAAATAAATACACTTCTGAGGAGGAGTATAGAATGAGATTTTTAGAGTACTAATAACAACAGTTTCCTTTAGCTTTTGGAGTTACAAAATTGGATGGAATTCTTGGGTCATGGCCTATTATATTTTTGTGGCTCAAACTTTTCAAATATTATATGGTAAATACAATAATAATATATTAAATTTATCAAAGAAAATAATAAGAAAAATTACCACTAGTCTATATACAAAGTCAGAATTACCATGTCTGATTAAAATATATTAAAAACGGTGAAACGTCGATAATCCAAAATTACCATGTCTGATTAAAATTTTAAAATAAAACAATTTAATTACAATAAAATTCCAAATTAACAGAACAAAACTACCCACTACGTTGTAGTTTTTCTTCCTTTAATTTTTTTAAATAAAAGAATATTTTACACAAAATTAACCGTAAAACTTACATGTAAAGAATGATATGTAAAAGATCAAATCATCAAATTGTCAGGCTGGTAATATTTATGAAAAGAAAACAATAATAAAAAAAAGAAATAAGAAAGATAAGTTTTTTTTATTTTTTTTATATTATTTATTATTATTTTTGTTGAAACTGACAAAATCAGTAACTAGTTCTGCAAAATAGAAATGGCAAAATGCAGACGTAAGATCGACGAATCCGGTCGGAGGTTTGAGACTTGCTCGCTCGCTCACTCGTTCGCTGACCCACTCACTCACACACTCAGAGACAGACATGCTGAAGGTGATGCGGACGATCACGATTGCTTCTTGTTTGAAGGTTGGTTATGGCGTCGGCAGCAGACAGAGAGTGAAATTGAGAGGTACGCCGCCTGTGCCTTGTCTTCTTCATAACTCTACTCTTTTTCCGTCTCGCTCTCAACCTTCTGAATCGATCAAATCTAAAAACACCCAATTGCAACACCTTGTGAAAGTAACTAATCTTGAGGATGCACTCCATGTGTTCGACGAAATGCTTCAACTGCGTCCTCTGCCTTCCGTTGTCCGTTTCACTCAAGTCTTGACTCAAGTCGCCAAATTGAAACATTATTCGACAGTCATCGTGCTGAATGACCGATTGGGTCTGTCGGGAATTGGTCCTAGTGTTTACACTCTAAACATTATCATTAATTGCTTTTCTCATCTGAACCAAATGGGGTTTGGTTTGTCTGTCTTGGGAAAATTCTTCAAACTTGGTTTTGAACCTGATGTCACGACCTTCAACACTCTAATCAACGGATTCCTTCTTCAGAATAGAGAGGCTGATGCCGTCGGGATTCTGAATAAAATGATGGAGAGTGGTACTTGTAAGCCCAATGTGGTTACTTTCGGCACACTAGTAAAGGGCCTTTGCATGAAAGGTAACAACACTGGAGCTATCCAATTGCTTAAGAAGATGGAAGAAGCAGGTTGCAAGCCTGACATAGTTGTCTATAGCACAATCATCGACAGTCTTTGTAAGGACACTACGGTTGTTGATGCAATGAACATTTTCTCTGAAATGATGAGCAAAGGTATTGACCCCAACGTCATTACCTATACTTCTTTGATTCATGGAGTATGCAAATTAGGGGACTGGAAGGAAGCTGCGAGACTGTTTAATGAAATGGTGAGCAAAGGTATCTTTCCAAATCTGCTGACCTTCAATGTCTTGGTAGACACCCTTTGTAAGGAGGGCTTGGTTGGGAAAGCAAAAGGAATGGTCAAAATGATGACCGAAAGAGGTATTGAGCCTGACGTGGTTACTTACAGTTCGCTCATGGATGGTTATTGCTTGCGAGGAGAAATGAGTGAGGCAAAGGAAGTCTTTGATCTAATGCTTAGCCAGGGATCCATAGTTGATGCTTATAGTTATAGCATATTGATAAATGGCTATTGTAAGCATAGAAGTATAGATGAGGCAATGCTGCTTTTTAAGGAAATGTCTGGTGGAGGACTGGTTCCAGATGCTGTTACTTATAGCACACTAATAGATGGTCTCTGCAAGCAAGGCAGAATACGCGATGCACAAAAGCTGTTTTCCAAGATGCAAGCTTGTGGCCTTCTTCCAGATGTCCAAACTTATGCTATATTAATGGATGGTCTGTGTAAAAACCAACAATTGTCTAAGGCAATTGAATTGTTTGAAGAGATGAAAGGCAAGAAATTGGATCCAAATATTGTGGTTTACAGTATTCTTATCGAAGGTTTGTGCATAAGTGGAAAAGTTGAATGCGCAAAGGATCTTTTTAGCGGTTTATCATCAAAAGGAGTTCAGCCTAATGTCAAGACGTTTACCATAATGATTAGTGGACTTTGTAATGCAGGTCTAATAGATGAAGCGGAAAATTTACTTACAGAAATGAAAGAGAGAGGCTGTTCGCCAAATGGTTGCACCTATAACACAATTATCCGAGGGCTTTTTAATAACAATGAGACATCAAGGGCGATGGGACTTATTCAACAAATGGTGGAGAATGGTTTTTCTGCAGATGCATCAACAGCCGAATTGGTTCTTGAGTTATTGTCTAAAGATAAAGTAGATCCCGCTTTGTTGCCGTTGATAGAATAAGCACTATGAAGTCAATTTGCGTATTTGAATGTCGAAACAGAACCTACTCATGAACTTTGAAGCTGCTTCGCCTTGGAAAACCATGGATGTTATCTGTGCACCATTTGATTAATTCTCACTGTTGCCTTTTGGTTGGGAGGGAAACTTTTAGCATATTGTGGTAACTGGTTGAGCAATGTCATGGTTTGGAGCTGCAGTTGCTAACATTCAATTGTGTGATAATGTTCTGCCGCAGGATCATTCATTTATTCTTTTTTATTTGCTTTCTTTTTTTTGTAATTATGTTGTGAAGCAACAGTCGAATTTGGCACCAAACAAACAATGTAATATATAGATGATGGAGTCTACATCAAATTCCATTACCCAACCGCTAGATTTTATTGAGTACAGCTGAAACAACGCACCAAGCCGGTTTTCAATCTTTTAACATGGCGTGGTCGTTGTTGGTCTAACAACTTTGCTAATTAGAAGCATCGTTGGGTGTAGTGTCAGAGCCAGAATTCTTTGTGAGAGAGCAACTGAAGTAATCTTCACAAAACCGACAGAGCAATCGAAGTAATCTTCACAAAGCCGACGGACTCGTTAAATTTAAAAGAGAGAATCAAAAGAAGTGTATAATACAACTAAGTGGGAGGTACAAAGTATAGGAAGAAAATACAAAGAAATCTAATTTGAATCGTTTTGACAAAAAAAAAAAAAAAGGGAGGGCAAAGAGGGGAGGAGGGCTGCAAATAATAGTTGATTAAGTTGCTTTAGAAATAACTTTAACTTGTTGATTTTAAAACCCCATCCCCGAGTTTCACTAAACCACAAACACAAAATAACAAAACTGTTAGAAAAATATAAGGCACAACGTCATTCAAGTTAACATTTTCATGACGACAATTTTTTTTCTCTTGTCTCACAGTTCTACTACTTTAAGCTTGAGGCCATAGAAATTTCTTATATAGTGGTCAGGATGGGCCTGGAACCACTTTGGTCCTTGATTGGCTCCGCCCATGGTTAGGTAACTAGTTGAACTGATTTATCATGATTTTTTAATCTTGTCCAACTATTATGCCACCGCGAATTGGTGTCGACACTCAAAGATAGTATCTTACACTCACCATTAAAAACTATATGAGTGTGAATAACAACTTTCTATGTTGAGACTCAAGAAAGTACCTCCTTGCACCAAAACTTAAAACAAAAAAAAAACACACACACACATATATACACAATTCTATGGAAGGAAAACTCGAGTGAAGAGTGCATTTTCACCTAGCATGCTAAGTGATAGGTCCAATTTCGTCCATGAGTTACAAAATTGGAGTGTTATTAAAAATAAATACTTTTAACACGTGACATTTTTAACTAAATAATATTTATCACTCAACCTGCCACGTAACAAGACACACCCAAATTTTTCCCCAGCTTCTTGTATAAATCTCTTGCCTCACATTCAATTGTTCCACATGCCAATTATATGATCAATGTTTTTTCTTTTCGGTTACAAATCTTGAAGGGAAACCAAAATCTTCATGAGAAAGAGGTTGGTGAGCATGAATATTTGTCATAAAAACTGCCTGCTATCCCCCAAACCATACAATTTCTCCTTCTCCAAGCAATTTAGACATGATCAAAATGTGTCATTTAGGCAGAAAGGTCAATTAACTTCCAACTTCCTCGCAGTCGACTTCGTTCATTCCATAACAAACTTTAGGACACAACACATCTCTCTCTCTCTCTCTGATCCGAACAATTTTGCAAGGAAACCATCTTTCTGCCACCTCCTTTCTCGAAGCCAAACTCAACAGAAATGGGAGGTAGCAGCACCAACAGCAACCACAAACTCCAAGACTCCGAAAAGAAATCATCACCTGCACTAGTGGCTCCGCCAATGATAGGCTTAAGAGCCACCCTCACTTGGGTTTTTCTTACCATTTCTGTTCTCTATCTCCTCTACTATTCCAACAGCCTTCTCTACGACCGCCAAGATTGTCCAACCACCACTTTAGATCCCTCGACTGAACGCCATCTGGAAACCCTCTCCAATGTCACTACTTCAGCTGATCTCAAACTCGGGGAGGACGACAAAGAAGACGACGAAGAATCCCCACAAGTGCCGGTACTTTATCAAAAGCCTCAGAGATTCGACACAGAGCTTAAACACATTATGTTCGGGATAGCTGCTTCGTCGAATTTGTGGGAGAAGAGGAAGGAATACATCAAAGTTTGGTGGAGGCCTAAGGAAACTAGAGGGGTAGTTTGGTTGGACAAAAAGGTGAGGACTAGAAGAAATGAGGGACTACCCGAGATTCGGATTTCAGGTGACACCAGAGGATTTAAATACACGAATCGCCAGGGACAGCGATCTGCGTTGAGGATTTCAAGGGTGGTTTCGGAGACATTGAGGCTTGGAGTGAAGGATGTGAGATGGTTTGTGATGGGGGATGATGACACGGTTTTTATGGTGGAAAATGTGGTGAGGATTCTTAACAAGTATGACCACACGCAATTTTATTATGTGGGAAGCTCGTCAGAGAGTCATATTCAGAACATATTTTTCTCGTATTCTATGGCGTATGGCGGAGGAGGTTTTGCTATAAGTTATCCTTTGGCAGTGGAATTGGAAAAGATGCAGGACCGGTGCATTCAGCGCTATCCTGGATTATACGGCAGTGATGATCGAATGCAGGCTTGCATGGCTGAGCTAGGCGTGCCACTTACCAAGGAAACTGGATTTCATCAGGTATGAGGGAAACAAAAGATGAAAATGTTTGAAAATTGGTAGATTTTCTGTTTCTTTTCCATTTTTTCTGAGTATTTTGATTGAATCCGAAAATTTTGGATCCGAATGAAGTGGAAATGTTCATTTGTTTATTTACAACACTGTCATCTGCCACTTCATTTGGTGACCAGAATTTTGTGATTTAGTACTAGTGAGTTACCTTCTTATTGAGTATTTTGCATCAGCCATTTTCTGGCTTCAATTGTCGTGGCTTTTTCGTGGATGAAATTTTATGTGGTGGAGTTTTCAGGTGTCATTTTACATTTCTTGGTACGCAAGAATTGTTGAAATAACTTCCAAATACAAACTATGAACTCTGTGTCTTGTGCTTGTGCAGTATGATGTGTATGGAGACCTACTAGGCCTTCTGAGTGCACATCCTGTGACTCCATTGGTGTCGCTTCACCACCTGGATGTAGTTGAACCAGTTTTCCCGCACATGAGTCAAGTGAAAGCGCTTCATCATCTATCCTGGTCCGTCAAGCTTGACTCAGCTAGTATAATGCAGCAATCAATCTGCTATGATAAAGATCGATACTGGTCCATCTCTGTATCATGGGGCTATGTGGTTCAAATTGTTAGGGGAATCATGTCTCCGAGAGAACTAGAGACGCCCTCCAGAACGTTTCTGAATTGGTATAGAAGAGCTGATTACACAGCATATGCATTCAACACTAGGCCTGTTTCCAAGCACCCATGTCAGAAACCCTTCATTTTCTACTTGAGCTCAACTTGGTATGATGAGGATAGAAAGAAAATCATTGGCTACTACACTCGTCACAAATCTCCCGTTCCTCACTGCCGATGGAAAATGGCCTCACCAGAACAAGTTGATTCCATCGTAGTACTAAAAAGGCCGGATCCTCTTCGTTGGGAAAAGGTATGGTGTTTCCAGCACATGAAATTTGACTCGTAATTTGAATGCATAGTTTCTTTTACAACACGTAAAAGCATATAGCCTTCAGAATTATGAATTAGGGTTACTGATTTTACTGCACTCACAGATCCTAGATTCCTAATACAATCCTCATATTTTTCGTTATTCCGTTACTAACTGAAAGAAACTTCCCTTTGCAGTCACCAAGGAGAGATTGTTGTAGAATTCTTCCATCGCAGAAGAACTCGACCATGTACTTGTTGGTCGACAATTGCAGACTAGGTGAGGTTAGTGAGTTATAGCTTATAGGAATTGGGAAACATCTCTCCTTGATCTATTTTTTTGTATCTGGTTCTGTTTCCCGCGGTCCAAGATTCTCGAGGGTTAGAGGAATAAAATCAAATGGCAAGTTTTGATGGGAACAGAATACAGAAAGGTCACCTGTTAGCTTTAGCTTCAATAGAAAGTTCATAGAATATCATCAATGAAATGAGACAGCTACGAGTTGGAAATTCATTGCTCTTATTTTTTATGTAAATTTGATCTGAGTATACTATTCACTGTTGTAACTTCATCTTTAGAGGGAGTTAAATTCGGATTTTGTTCAAGTTCTCGCCCATTCCTTCGGACCAGGATCCTCTCCGAACCCTTTTTGCGAGGATCCTAGGGATCAATTCATTGTACCGTTCACTACATCAAAAGATCAAGAGTCAATATTTTTATTTTAATGCAAACAGCCCCTAACGAAAAGCTCGCCGTCGTGACAGAGCTCCATGACCAAATGGACGGCAGTGGCGTTCTCGTAGATGCCGTGGATTCTGACGACATGGGGGTGTTCGGAGAGGTGGTGCATGATATGAATCTCTCGCTAGACATCCTCGTAATCCTCCCATCATAGGAGCTTGCGCTTGGGGATGGACTTGCAGGCGTAGGGGTGTCTGAAGGAGATTTCAGTGCAACGTTTGCGAGGCGGTGGAGGCGAACGTCCTCTGTTGCGTTGACGAGGAGGCGCTGTGCTAGATGTGCAACGAGAAGGTTGACAAAGTGAGCAAGCTCGTCAGCAAACACCAGAGGGTTCCTCTGTCCTCCGAAGTGCCCAAATGCGATATCTACCCGGTAAACCAAAGTTCCTAATCCCACATCGAAAAAGTTGACAAATTTGATCATATAAACACGAAATTCAAATTGGGTTTTGCTTGAATTTTTTTGTGTTTATGATTTACATGAGGCTGTTGGGTACTTTTCTACTTAGAGGATCGAGCCTTGCTACGTGTAAAGGATAAAAGAATTCAAAATGATTTCTAGCAGCATGATGCACAGCTAGATTGAATTGATTCTTAAGATTCTCACAGAAAGAATCCGGTCATGTTCCTTCACCATTTAGAGCTATCCTTGATGACTAATTATTAGAATGGTATTATTTTTACTAGTGTTGAAGATGACTAAGTTGGAAAATAGTGAGGGGAGGTTATGAAATGCTTTTAGAACACCAAAAGCGCTTATAACATATTTGTCAAAAAAAAGTTCAAAATATTTTATAAGTAGCTGGGCTCCTTTTTATATAGCAATTAATTGTGTGGTGCAACCTCAACTTCTTTAATATTTAAAAACTATTTTTCAAAAAGAAGTACATGATGTATACATCTTTTAAGAAACACTTATATTAAAGTTTTGGATGTGCTTCTAATAGAAGCCCAAAATGGTTTTCTAAAGAA